AATATAATAGCTAAAATTGTATCCTTTTGTACTAGGATATTCACGGCGTGGAAACTCGCCGAACAGTGCAACCGTAGACACCCATCGATGTACATTTTCCCTACTGTAGCTAACAGCCTTGGGCGTGGAGTGGTAAGTCCCCTCACGTATGTAATAGTATCTATGTAAACGGATCTATGTAAACGTATCTCTGTAATTGTATCTCTTGTAATTTTATCTTTTGTAATTGTATGTAATAGTATCTCTTCATATAGTATGTAATGTATTAGTATTCTTGTAATTGTATTTATGTAATTATATCTTTTCATATAGTATGTATTGTATTAGTATAGACTCATGAATGAACTAACTCTTGTGTGATTCCTTGTACTTGGAATAGTAAGTAGTATCTCCTAACTATACCTATTACAGTTACTAGTAATGTACATGTATAACCGAAGTATGCCTTTGCTACCCAAAGGTACTGAACTAACTAATGGAACTTTTATGTCTATAACTATATACATGATATATAACTAATATTTAGATGACATTCGGACGAATAACCGATGCCTTAAGGCCACATCCCAACGAGGAAAAGGAAATAAAGCGAGCTAGTCGTCCTAAGTCCTTTAAACATTAGATCTATAACTATACATATATAGGCATGCATTTGACAATATAAAAGTATAAAAGATGTTTTATAAAACCTTTAAAAAGTTTAATAACTAAGAAATGATGACTTGATGTCATTTTATAAAATGATTTGAAAGCAATTTGTTTGATAAGAACAATTTTAAGTATAAGAAAACCTTTGTTCAAACACTATTGTAATAGAGTTTGAAAGGAAACATACAATATGAAAGACAGTTTGATAAAGAGCTTTAACATGTAAAAACATTTTAATAAGTCATTTGAAAGTAGTATACTAAGTAAACAACTAAAAGCGTAGTAAATCCATTTGTATGCTACTTATTAATCACATGCGATTGATATACTAACTAGCATGATTCAACTTGTACCCCCCCCCCCCCATAAAAGCATTTATAAACATTTAGAAACATTTAAAAGGTTAATTAAGGGGTATGAACTCACCTGCATTGAGTGGATCGTATGGAAGTGTCGGACAAGGTGCTAGGTGTCAAGTGAGGACATTAACACACACGATGATCCTAGTTAACATATAATAAACATATATGTATCTAACTAGACACTTAAAAACTAATTAATCAATTTAAGACACCCTAGGACATGGAAACACATTGAATCAAGTGTTATAGGTACCAAAGGGTTGCATCTAAGGGTTGTATGGCATGGCATTGGTGTTTATGGCCCAAGGACCACTCCTTATGGAGTTTATGGCCCATAAACATTTACCCATGAATTTATGGCCGTAAAATCATGGTGCTAAGTTCCAAATTGTGTTTTGAGGTCTTACAAGTCATGATTGAGCATCCGATGATCAAGTCCAAACCATAGGAAAGCGTTAGGGCACACTAACCCTTCCTTGTAGAGTTCACGGCCTAAGGACCACTTACATAGGTGTTTACGGTCATTAACTCTCATGGGGACTTGTTTTGATTGTTTTTTAAGGTCTTAAACACTTCTAGGAAGGATCAAGGTTGGCATCCAAGGCTTAGGAAGGAACTAGGGTCCATTTAGCCACCTTAAGAGGCGTTTACGGCCCAAGAACATCCTTGGCTGTAAAATCCTTTGTTCTTATGATTCTTGATGATTTTCAAGTGTTATTAAGATCATACTAAGCACACAAGAAGCTAGGGAAAGTGTAGTTACAAGATAGAAGCTCGATTGGGTCTTTAAGGTCCACGAACACTAGTGTCTCTTCTTGGTGTTTTCAAGAACACTTGAATATCTAGTTGAAAAGAAATAATGAATGGATGAAATGATGTATAAACACTAGGTGATAGGGTATAACAATAAATTAAGTCGAGAAACACTTACGTTTTCGGAAGATTGTGTGAAGAATGGGATGATAGTTGAGAGAGAACGAGTAAACTTGAGGGTGGAAGTGAGAAATGAGGAGTTTGGGGAGTAAACTCATGCCTAAGGCATGTGTTCACAGAGTTTACGGCCCAAACTCTAAAGGTTTGGTCGTGAACTCTTTATTAGGGTGCATTGGGTGGGTTTGCTACTTCAAGACTCGAGACAGTACTTCCTTTCTTTTGTTAGTTTGAAGAATAAATAGTTATAACACTCAAACGGACTTTTAAATTGCCTAACAAATATGTAAAAATGTAATTGACTTTTAATTGAACTGATTGACTTTAGAGTTTGTACGAATGAAAATTCCGGGTTGTCACATTTTGTCTGCATTATGCTTATTTATAACAACGTAATAAAATAATAACAAAAATAAGTGTCAAAAATAAAATAATAGATAGACCCAATATCTATGAAGAAAGTTGAAGTAGTCGTAACAAGGATTTTAGAGATAAAAGGAACGCTGAAATCCACTTATAACAAAGAAGTTATGGCCTGTCGAAGTATTGTAGCAAAACCGACACGACACCGGGAATCATAAAAAGTGAGTTTGCGATAAAATACTTTTTTGCCTTAGCGATCTAAAAAAAGGTCGTAGTATACGTTAAATCGAGAGCGTGCATAAAATAACGTCCAAATATGACTTCATATGAGGAAGTTATGATTTTTCTAAGATTTAGCATAGTAGTGCACATCCCGAAATTCGAATTTTAGATCGACTTATTTATAGCTGACACAGTCTAAACAAGAATCGAAGATCTCGTTAAAAAGAACTCAATGATATAAAGACAGATGAAAATGGACTTCGGATGACAAAGTTATGAATTTTTAATGGATTTTAATTGCTAAACCTTGTTAAAATATAACTTTAAAAATAAAGAAAAAATTATAAGAAAAATTCTAAACGAAAGTTGTAGAGTACGTCGCCACCTACACATGGATATAAAGAACATCAAAAACGGAGTTCGTATGCGAAAGTTGTGAAATTTAAAAGTTGTGTGTATGCTGATGTGAAGAGGGTGACGTGGCCGAATCCTAACCCTCGCTTGCTCCCCACAATCCTCGCTTTGGATGTTGACAGATGGCCTTCATAAACGCAACATAACACTTCGGACTACCCACGTACTGAGTACACCCAGCGTACATAGAAGGTACGCCACATGCACTCGCATCCAACCTCCTATAAATAGGTGCGAGGTTTCTCCCAATTCATCACACCTTCACCCTTATTTCTCTCTCAACACTTCAAAACTATCTCTCTACTTCCCTCGTACTTCCTAAGTGCTAGAGGCGAGTCCCAGAGTGCCAGAAGGCTCCGAGAAGAAGAATTTTTGGATCAGAAGTTCAACCCCGCATAGCCCGGTTCCTAGCCAAACCACCTGGTAAGTGAGTTATTCTTACACTACTTTAAGTATAGCTTATGTTTAAATTCAATATCGCTATTATAAACCTATAAACAATATATGTTTTATGAAATACAATATACCAAGTGTTATTATAATATCTTTTAACTACTCGCGGTATGGGAAATCTGGTTTGAAGGGTCACATAGGGTCATTAGATTTCAGAAGTGCTATAATGCCAAAATGGTCCTACACTTCGGTGTTTCATGTCTGGCCCCTGTTTATACGTAGTGGTCGAAAAGTATTGTTTAACACTTATAAAATGATATCGTTCGTAGATAGTTGCAATAAATATTAGACTAAAATCTAGCAGTAATGATAGTAGGTTTCGTCGAAGGAAAATAGAATTGTTAGAAGCGAAACTCTACCCAAGTTCGGAATCATCACTTTAACAAGTGAGTGCATTGTTGTTTTCATCTTACACAAAAATATGAAGTATTCTATGTGTGCATATTATTTGTGTGCTTGATATTCACGTTGGATGAAAAAATATACATGTTTTACTTGATGTAAACTGCATATGTATTTTATACCTATAATTATGATGGGTAAAGATGCGTAGATGAAATAGATGATGATTGATGAATTAAATTGATGAGAGGCCTCGATGTTTAAGCTGACTTAGCCATCTAGGTTAGTATAGATGACGACCACGAACTATTCTAGACAGTCGAGTAGAACGCTTGCAGGCTCGCAGCCTATAGGTGTTTGTGAACGATGTATTCACCAGTGTACTCAATCCCCCTCATGGTTGCCTTACTGACATATATTGTTGAGGAACCCCTAAGCAGTATTGTCATCCCGATGATTATCCTTAGGCTAGGTCCCTTAATTTAGAGGATTTAGGGATAGAAAGTGAGGATAACGGGAATGAGTAATTGCGGTTAATTAATCTAACGAAATTAATAAACTTAATTATTGTGGGTTGAAAACCCTATGTGCTCACTAGGCCCGCAAGCTTGACCCACTCGATTTCTTGTATTACAGGTAGTGACACAAGAGCATAGATGCGGTGATCTGATGAGGGATTATGGATTATAGTCAAGTATAAATAAGTAGAATGTTGTAAGGCCTATGTGCTTTCTGTTTATACTTTTGATATGTATTGAGAATGACATCCCGAGATTTTTAATATAATGAAAATAGATTTCTTTGGAAAAGCTTTGATAAATTCTTTATCATATTTTTGGGAATAAATTCTGCAACATATTTCTTCAATAGTATACTCTGATTTTCAAATAAAGTGTAAACAAATCAGTCTTTTTTGGGCGTGAATTTGGGGATGTCACATTTTTCAGCCAGAGTTTTCTTTTTCTAACTTGATCATATCAGCTTCTCTAGTTTTCTTCATGAAGCCCATCTAATACATATTATTTAAATTTACCTTCGGTTCTCCCCCTTGTTGCGAAGAAGCCTCACTTCTTGTAACACTCTTGACCTCATTAAGCATCTCAAACACAAGCTTAAGCTTCTCACTCAAAATCTGACCAACATAGTCAGTAAACGGAGCATCTCTTGACTCGATGATATGCAATAACCATTGGTTGATTTCAAAGTTGCGCCCTTGAACCAAAATATTTTATTCTTCAAGCTTCTTAATATTGATCGATGCATTCCTCAATATTTCTTGTAGCACGTTGTTTTCTGAGTTTGTTCAGCCACTGCATCCATAATTCTATTCTCAGCAGCCAAAGAATTTTGTAATCGGAAAATTCTTTTGGAGAAGGATGTATGAAGATCAACATTGTCACATTGAATTCTAAATCGGAGGCTAGAGAGAGCTTCTTTTTCGGCTTGTAAAGAAATCTGCAAACCTTCAATTACCTTGTTCGCATCTGCAACATTCTTATCGGAAGAAGTCCTGAAGTCCTGAAGTCATTCTTATCAATTTATTGACCTTCTTCGTAGCTTCTATAATTTTATGTTCTGAAGATTGAGCATTCTTCATTGTTTTTCAAGAACCTTAGCAATTGTTGACCTTAGCAGCTCCATCATGGCTATATGCATCTTCAAATAATTTTCCCATTTTGTGGAAGAAAAAACATTTGTATGCTCAGGAATGGAGTCAAGATTTTTTATTCAGTTGCTTGTATTGACCTTTAGTCATTGGGGTTTCCTCATCATCACTATCGATATTGGCAGTAAAGGGTTGGAAGACAAAGTCGTCAATGGGTTCTTGATCATCCGCAAACATTATATCAGTATCCTCATTTAGAGGTGGAACATAACAAGAAAATGGTTCCTATGACACACCAATATTGGCATTTGGCCCCATATCATATGTGTTACGTGGGATGCCTGAAGTCCTAATCGCCTACGAAACGGACATGATAATAGGAACTTCTGGTGGAGTTGTGACAGATGATGTTGAAGAAATGGTGGAGTCTGTAAAAATTGTAGTGGAAAATAGGATTGAAAATTGATGTTGAGATGTTTCAGCAAAATGAACCTTTGGTAGTGGAGGAATGGTTGAGATCGGAATAGATGTAGTAAGAGGTGAGGTTGTCATGGATAATGTTGGTGGATTAAATGGAGGTGGAGGAGGAGGAGTAGTGAGATTTAAAAATGGTTCCTTCATTATTGTTTAAAAATGTCGGATTCTGGAATGAAAGATAATGGAGGAGAAGATACCTTATCTAACATTTCGAAAGGGGTGGTTTAGAAGTATGAGTTGTATCTTCTTCATTGTTTATGAAAACATTATCTCCATGAACTTCTATTTTAGTTCTCTCTTCTGAGTCATCTTCTATCACCATAGATGGAGACGTTGGCTACTGAACTGATTTCTTGAATTTCTTAGAAACGTTTTCTCCTATAGAAGGAGAAACCTTTGGTTTTCGTTTACCACCACGTTTAGGTATTTTACCAGTGTCAATAATCTTCCTCAATTCAGCAGGGACCGGACGAACACCAGATGATGGTGATTTCCAATAAGCCCTAGTTATAGCATTGGTCACAAGAACGTTTTCCAACATAACTTCCGGAATAGATCCAAGAAATTCAAAATTTTGAAGATCGGGCATAACAAAAGTGGTGGTCTGGAGCTTCGGAATGTCAGGAATTAGAGAATCTATCACTTGAGGAACCTTGTAGTGAAGAAGATCTCATTTGACGAAGATGGACCAAAACCGAGCACATGAGATTTCTGTCTGATGAGTGGTGGAGCTGGTACATTGAACAAATTGAGCCGATATTACACACCCAAAATCCATGTTTAAACCAATGTATAACCCATATATCATCGTGTAAAATATTTTTCTCTCACTATCAGAGCCCCAAACCCTCTCTGATAAACTCTTGAACAAAATTGTAAATAAACCATTCCAAATAGGAGGCAAGAAGGACTTTGAAAACATTGATAATAAGGAAATGTCACCTATATAACCCATCTAAAAGAACATATCTATCAAGCTTCTTATCGGAATGGACTCAGGATCAACACCTACGTCAAAGGAAACAAGCCCTAGCAGTTTGCAGAAACTGGTTTTCCTTATCGAAGTTTTCTGGCTTGAAACTTCAAAGTTAATGATTTCCCCGATCTTGTTGTAGATGGTCGTTGAATAAGCTTTAGAAAAATGAACAAGAAGAACAACTTCATACATTGTCATCGCCTTCATCAATGGTGAAAATCTCAGACACTCGATTAAAGGCTTAATCACGGCGTTATAGTGAGATATGTTAAGGTCGACTATGAGATTTTGGTTGGGTTTAATGTTTAACATTATCACCGATGCTAATTGATCCATAAAAAACATTCTCAGAGGAAGCCATTTTTCACTGTGAAAAAGAATATGAATAGTAGAGAACTTTTTGCGTGAAGAGTCTTCAAAAATGTTTGCAATAAGATATAATGAACCAGTTGAGATAAGTTTTATATCATAGATGTTGCGTGGAGAGAGAGAAACCTTCATTTCATGCTCCAGTAATGCCAAAAAATCAGCCAATACGATTCTTCCAACTCATTATTCCACTATTAGTGGCCATTATAACAGTCATGTTGATGTTAGAGAAATTCAAAAGACACGCCATGATTTGAATTTTCCATTACCAAAGACAAGGTCTTTTCGGATTCACCACTTTTGGAATCATTGATCTACCCTCCAGGTTTGCATAAGCTAGAATAGTATCCATTGGAATTACGACCAAGATTCGTTCTTCAGAAAATAAATGACCAATCGGAACCAAAACCAGACTTTGGAAAATCACAAGGATTTTAGTGCAAGAGTGTGGCAAAGAAAAAGAATTAATCAAATTCAAAGTGTGGGATTTGTAATATGAAATATGTTTGAAATGAAAAGTAGTTGGATCCCGGGCAGCGATCTCTTCCTTCTTGTGTGGTTTCCGTCATTTCACGCTCCAGTAATGTCAAAAGAGACTCTAAAGTACTTGTGTGGTTTCCCTATGAATTACGATCAGAAGTTTGTTGAAAACTATGAAAGGCTTCTTTTATAAGGCTTGATGAGTGGCTTCATCTTCAAATAAAATTTGAAACTTACCATAAGTACAAATATCTGAAAGAAGTAATTGTTTGATGAGTATAGCGATAAAAACAAACTTTGGATATTCTTTGAATTAACTTGGTCTTAAAAAAAAGGTTCAAACAGAAATTTCAATTTATAAAAAATTAAAAACCTGGATCTTATGGGAAAAAATGACTTGGTACAAGAACATTTCATTAAGATCACTCAAAGGAAAAAAATGAGATTTTGAACATTCAAAGGCACAAACCAAAAAGGTTTTATCCGTTAATTTAGTGGTTAAAATAACATCAATAAATTGTTCACCATCAATTCAGTAGTTAAAGTATATAGAACAATAAATTGTTCACCGTAAATTAAGAAAAGGGAATTGTATTTTGGGTTTCACTCGAAATCATGGTAATAACGATTTCAAGATGATAAACACAGATGTTGTGAAACCTAAACGTCAGTGGTAAAACCTGAGAGTCTGAAGGCTTACGATTATGAACATGAAATAGATATAGAATAATAGATTGGGAGTCGAATGGTTCAGAGTTTCACGATAATCATGTTAGCAACGATTTTATGATCACTAATAAGAATGTTTGTAGCCCTATACTGAATTTTTTTTGTTCTGATAATCAAGGGACTACATGGAAGTCTTGATTAGATATGGTGGAAAGAAGTTATGATGTCAACCGTCAATTCCTTGAAAATAAAATATTTTTCATGTTTTTGATTTTTCAGAATACTGAAATAAAGAAAATATTTTGAGATTTTTGAACTTCTGAAAATGAAAAACAGAAACGAATAAAATTTTATTGCATTTTTTATTTTCTAAAAAAATAAGATAGAAATAAATAAAAATATTTTGGATTTTTTTTATTTGAGAAATAGATGACAATAGACTTACAAAGATAATAGATTCTGAAATCTGAATGAACAGTTACTTCAGACCTATTTTGAAGATCGAAACAAGTCGGAAGTGAACAGTGGAATCTGACGGCTTCCGAGGGTCAGAACCATTCGGAAGTGTATAGTAATGTGGAAGATTACGGTGTTGAATTCAGAATAGAGACAACTTCAATCATTCCCAATCCTTGTAGGATCCGATTGAATGGTATTTCTGGTAAGGATTTTGTGAAGATATTTGCTAACTAATCTGAGGATCGGACAAAGTGAAATTCCACATTCCCATCTTTAACATGGTCCTTGATAAAGTGGTATAGAAGCACAATATGTTTTGTTTTGGAATGTTGCACTAGATTGTGACATATTCTAATGGCACTTTCGGAATCACAATACAAAGGAATTCGTTTCGTATTGATTTCTTAGTCTCTTAGTTGATTATGAATCCATACCACTTATGATGTGTATGACGCCACTACGATATATTTTGCTTTAGTGGTGAATAAGGTCATACAGGTTTGCTTCATGGACTGCCATCTGACAAGCTTTCCATCTAGAAATTGACATCCTCCTAATGTGATTTTTCGATCAAGGCCACAGCCAACTAAGTCAGCATCACAATAGGCTTCAACAAAGAATCTTGAATTTGATGGATACCATAAACCTAGTAAGTTGTTCATTTTAGATATCAAAATATGCTCTTTACAGCTATCATGTCAGGTTCTCGAGGATTCGCTTGAAATCTAGAACAATAACAAACATCAAACATTATGTCTGGACGACTAGATGTTAGATACAATAATGATCCGATCATCTGACAAGACAATGTAATATTCGCTACTAATTTGTCAAGTGAAGGAGTGATTTTTGTTTCGAATGCCATTGGAAATTTGACTTTTGAATCACCCATCATTTCAAACTTGGCCAATAATGTATTTATAAAGACTTATTGATTGATGAATATTCCCTCCAAACTCTATCTTATATTTAAACCAAGGGAAAAAATTAATCGGACCCATAGAACTCATTTCAAATTTTGTCTCCATTAATTTTTCGAATTCAGCAATTAAGTTGGGATTAGTGAATCCAAAAATAATATCATCAACATAAATTTGAACAATCATTAAACGGTCACCATCTTTCTTTCAAAAGAAGGTAGGGTCAACAGAACTTTGTTTGAATTTACACTGATTTAGAAAACAAGTTAGAGTTTCATACCATGCCCGTGGAGCTTGTTTAAGACCATATACAACTTTGTCCAGAATATAACAGTGATTCAGAAAATTTTCATTCACAAAACCTAGTGGTTGTTCAACGTAAACTGTTTCTTCAGGTTGTCCATTCAAAAAACAACACTTCACATCCATTTGAAATACTTCAAAGTTTTTGTGAGCAACATAAGCTAGAAATATGTGAACTAATTCAAGTCTAGCCACAGGAGAAAATGTCTCTTCATAATTGATACCTTCTTCTTGACAATATCCTTTGATGACTAGACATGCTTTATTTCGAATAATATTCCCTTATTTATCCATATTGTTTGTAAATACCCATTTCAGACCATACACAAATGGATTTTCTGGAGTAGGAATCAATCTCCAAACTTTGTTCCAATCAAATTCATTAAGTTCTTCATGTATTGCATGAACCCAATCTACATGATCACCAACAATTTTAATGGTTTTAGGTTTTCTTTTGAAATAAAGGACTTTAACATGCAAATTTACAATTTAGAAAATAAAGAAGTTTGATTCTCTTTTTGTTGAGAATGTGTGAGAACCCCTGAAAATGTATCTCCGATCACTTGATATTGAGGATGATCTTTAGTCGATTTTTTCAGTGGTGGAAATTTTTGATCGTAAACTAGATCAATCTCAACAACGATTTCTTCAAATTTCGATTGAGTATCTGATTCATTATATTCATTATTCTCCTCTTGGAAATTTGCACTTAAAACATCATTCATATTTGAACTCTCTCCCTAGAGTTGAGCATCTGAATCGATATTTGGAGTTGAACTCTCCCCCTGGATTGGAATGTCATGAGGTTTCGATTGATTTGGTAATTCAGTCGTATTCAGAATAGGTTGCTTGTTACGAGTCTATATCTCTTCAACAACTTCATCAATAATCTATAGTAATTCATCCTCATTATTATCCTTAGCATTTTATTCCAATGAAATTTCCCTTCAGGTTCATCAAAAACAAATTAGAAAATCATCATATAGATACATAAGACTAATAATCTTAGAATTTGGTGATGGAAAATTTCTTCAGTTTGACAGTCTTCCGTTTGATGTTTATTTATGTAATTGTCATCAAATGTAACATAATAGCTTTCTGATGGGCTTGAGCCCCAATAACATCCTATGTGCTTATGCAAACCCTAATGCTTGGATCTAGGTTTCTATAATTGTACATGCATTCATCCAAGAGTTTGTAATCCTAGATCAAAGATATATGTTTCAAAATTAACATGATAAAACAGATCTAGAAGATTACCTCTTGTTTCTTGCTATAATCTTTCTTCTTCCTTGAGCTTAGAGTCACAAGTGTAACTCCTCTAATGGCTTAAAAAACCAACTCGCAAGAGTGTAATACTTGAGAGAGGATGAAGGAACACAAAATCGGTTCTAGGGTTCTAGGAAAGCTAGTGGCTGATTTATGTAACCCATGGCATCTATTTATATTGTTAGCAGCTACGGTTTTAGTAAAAAACCCTAATGGATAGCTTAAACATTAAGCAGCCCATGGAGCCTTCAGGAATAAGGCCGTGGACGAAAATATGATGGACTCCCATCATAATTTCTTTCACCCCTTAGTCCATTACGTTTCCCAACCCAAAAGTTCAACTATCAAACATTTGACAGTTCAAGTCTCTTTATTCAATTAATCTCTTTTAGTTAGCAAATTAATTCCTAATTAATCTATGACTAATATTAATCAAATAATATGATTTCTCCTTTAATATATCATTCTTATAATATATTAATAAACCATGATATCTTCTCTCTCTTCATAAATTACCCTGTCAAGTTGCTATGTTGAAGGCAACCCAAAAGGACCATGCACAACCGGGTCAAGTACTTACCAAATATTGTTACGGGCTTAGACACTGATCCAACAGTCTCCCACTTGGATAAGTCTAGTGACTATAATGTAAGCATGTTCCGATTAGCAATCATAGCTCTCAAAGACGCTGTCGAACTCTAATCTTATCAGCAACCTGTCATTTAGATAAGGGATCATATATTCCTCTATTCTAGATGTCATGTGCACAATTACATGGAACATAGTCATACTTATTGTCTAGCAGTTTGTTTCTCAATCTCAGATTCATTTGACATAGAACAT